GATGCTGTGGCCCATAAACATGTACAAATTATATCCTCAATTAATAATCAAAATGCAGACGCGTTGTCAATCCTGTGTACTAAGATGGAATGCACCGTTTCCAGTAGAAAAGGTCTCCGGTTCTCTACACTCACTACACTAAACACAGCAGCATTAAGCTGCCGTTTAACGCTTGTATTCTGTGAGAGCGTTCTCCTTCCTCAGTCGAGCCGACCCATTTGTGCTACAACCATAATATAGCTGCAGCGTGGCTCTATAACGTAAAAACATTTAAAGTTTCATCAAGAAAGCAATATCACGGTTAGATAAGAGTTCTGCTCTACTGATTATTGGTTTACTTATTCCTATTATATAACCATCGGTGCGTTGCTGTTAGTAGCGTGCTGTTAATTAACGCGTAACACCTGTACGTCTAGATTCTAAATTTCAAATTTATTATTTATTTAAAAACTTAATTGTTCTAACCAATAAACGATTACAAAGTACGGGCTTTCAGTATTTCAGTGTTGTCGTGCGAGGCAGAGAATTAAATTTCGCGTAAATCGTACGGTAGTGGACCGCCAACCATCGATATGATAAGGATGGAATTTCGAGTTTGGTCGTAATGTACGATGTTAGAATTCAGCTGCTGGAATTAATTCGCTTTCTATATATAACAAATACTTTAACATTACGAAGAACTCTAGTAAACGCTTCCGTATAATGTAGTCGTGTGGTTTCATTTACATACGAAGACTACATTCGATGCTAAGCTTAAAAGAACACAATGTGAAATTTAGTTAATGAATGAAGGTCTTCATATCGTCAATTAGACAGTTGCTCGACTAAATTGTAAAAAAAAACTACTAATTAATATGTCAAAAAACTATTGACAGACAGATCAATGTATATTGCCATGTATTAGGAGGCGCATACGCTCTACTACCACAGTTCATCCACGAATATTTAGTTATGTACTAGCTCGGTTGAATCGACATACTATCTTTTCCATTTTTTTATTCCGGGTCTAATATAGCAAACACAAGCTTATTATGGCAATTGTTATTAATATTAATAATTAATTTTGCCCTAACTAAACGCAATAGTAATCCTAATTGAGTACTGCAAAACGACCGGCCAATATATGCAACAAAAGAAAACAAGTAAATCGATAACTGATTGATCGATAATATACACATCACCAGCGACTAAACAGTTTAATCGTTGTGAAATCGTTACTAACAGCTAACTCGGCTAAACAACTTGACCGATTAATCATAATTGTATTCATGCGGTAGATGTTACTCGACTTCACAGAGGCACATATTATAATATGTGACTACATATAGATAGTATGTGTCAGTACTTAAGTATGTAATTTTATTTCAAGTATATTATGTGAATTTTCGGTCTTGTTTTGATCCTAATAATTAAAAAAAAATCGGTTGTAGCACAAATGAGTCGGTTCGAACGGGGAAGGAGCACGCTCTCACAGAATACCAGCGTAAACAGCAGCTTAATGCTGCTGTGTTTCGTATGGTGAGTGTAGAGAACCGGAGACCTTTTTTACTGGAAACGAGGCATTCCATCTTAGTCCTCACGGGTGACAACGCATATACATTAAGATTTTTTATTGATGATAGACGTAGACGTGTCGATGGGCCATAACAACCACGTACCATCAGGTGGAATGTGTGCTCGTTTGTCACCCATATTTTATAAACAATAAAACTAGCATATAACTCTCATAAATCAATCAAACTGTTCAGTTTGATTGATTTATGAGAACTGTTTGTATGCGGTAAATGTGACTTAACTCCACGCAGACATTTCTGTGCCTACTTCTAGATTTAAGCATGTAATTTTCTCTTTCAAACTTGTATAAATTTTCAGTCATATTGGTGATCCTAAAAATTTGACAATAAGTAAATTGTCGGGTAACCGAATAACCATCTATAAATTATTTCTATCTTTATAGCTTCCTAGTTTAAAAAGAAATGTAGAAATGATTTTTTTTTTAATTTAATATAGATTATGAAAATAATACACATTGAGTGTCAATTAAATTTACCACCGGTTCGAAAAATGACTTGGGTTTTATTGCCGGTTATTCGAAAGACAGCGTAAAACTAGCAAGAAAGCCCAGTGGAACATTTTTAAAGTACAGTTTTCAATTATTTATTATGTTAATTAACTATACAAATCATATCAAAAATAGCTGAGTAGCGCTCACCTCACTATATAGCACCTAACATATAATCAAACAAAATAAAAATGTACAGATACACACACAGTGAAATTGGGACTACCCTTCTCATTTGATGCCTAATTACAGGTTTGACTTGAAAACAAAATAACTACAGAATCGATTTTCACTTAACCAGATGTCCTTTATATACGCGTCGAAAAATTGGTTGAGTCTACATTATTAGTACATTATTAGTACTCGGATACCTAGACGTGCATGCATGAAGAAGATAATGAATCTGAAAGAAGCGAAAGAGGTATGTAAGGATCGTGACACTTGGCGATCTGTTCTCTCTGGCTACCCCGTCAGGGATTGTGCGTGAAGATAAGTAAGTAAGTTAGGTAAGTCTACATTATAGTTTGCTATCGGGATACGAGGCGGTAAAGTTTACTTATCAACCGTCTTCAAAAAAGGAGGGGGTTCTCAATGCGACTGTATTTATTTTCTGCCGACTTCCAAAAAGGAGCCGGTACTCAATTCGACTGTATGTTTTTTTTTTTTCGTTTTTTTTTATGTGTGTTACCTCAGAACTTTTTTCTGGGTGAACCGATTTCGATGATTCTTTTTTTATTTGAAAGCTGGTACTTCTCGTGTGGTCCCATATGAATTTGATCAAGGTCAGACCAATAGTTTTTAAGTTATTCTTAAATAACTTATATTGAAGTCGGCTGTACAAAATTTTTAATTTTAAATTATTTAAGTGTGTTACCACAGAACTTTTTTTAAGTGAACCGATTTTTTTATTTGAAATCTGGTGCTTCTCATGTGATCCCGTATATATTTGATCAAGATCTAACTAGTATTTTTTGAGTTATCCTTAATAATGCGTATTTAATTGACTTCGAGTACATTGACGATCTTCTCATTTTATTAAGTGGCGAAGCTTGCGAAGTCACTTATTGATTTCACGATGTCTGTCCGTCTGTCCCACGATTATCTCGAGAACGGTTTTGAATTTTCAAATTCTGTTTTCAACAATCTATTACTGATCACCCAGGCATCTGAACCTCCTATTTTGAAACTGATTGCTCAACGGCAACCGTTAGAAACCGCTACAAAGTTGATTGCTTCGCCACTTTGCTATGCTGTTAGCTTGCTAGGTTTATTTATATTGAAGTCGGTTGTACAAAATTTTTGAAAGCGACGTGAAGAATAAGTAAGAAGATGTACCTACTGAGAAGAACTTCTAGGCGGCAAAGTAGTACCACCTTCTAATTATAAAATAGTACTAGGTAATAATATACAAAACACACACACACACACACATATCCTTTTTAAAACAGCCGAAATGGAATTGTGGAGACTTAAAACGTAGACATATATATTTATTAAAATGTGGACTTTGGAAAATCGAACACAATGTTATCTAATATTAACAACTTAGAAAGTAAGAAGATAATAAAAATAGTAAGTTATAATTGAAAATTCATAAAATATTATCAACCAGAGATATTATAATAAAATAAATACTTAATTATCCTATCGAAGGCCCTTTGTATCTTGACAATGTAGGAAGTACTACCGAAGTGAATCATTGTGCACTATAGTATCACTGTGTATCGTGTGTAAATAACTGCATTTCCGACGATACGTGTCGCTATAATTCCGCTCTTCGACTTTGTCTGCTGTACTTAATAGTCACAACTATAAACGGACAGTTTTACTTTTATTACCAAATATTTATAGTAAATAAGTATATATAGGTATTTTCATAAAAGAAAAATCCCATTGTATCTTATTTTGTGGATGGGAAAATCCTTATAAATTCTCAGCCACATAAGGTGTCAACACAGGTTAAGTCACATTCAATTGGATGAAAACCCAACGGTGATCATTCGTTGCATTGAAAAGGACAGTCTATGGCATAAAAGGAGCGCTACTAGTCAAGTTAGTTTTGTCGTTAGTTCCTTAGTTCTCAATTCTATATCGTATGTAGCTGAATAATATTTACAGACACTAATAGTTACTTATTTTTTTAATGTTTTATCTTCATGACTAGTGAAATCTTTTGTTTTAGGGTCATCACCGAATAAATACCTCTGTCTGAAAGGCTGCCAGATTTTTTTTATAGGATAAGGGTGACAAACGAGCACACAGTCCACCTGATGGTAAGTCGTTGCTGTAGCCCATAGACATCTATATTATATCCTCGATTACGAATCAAAATGCAGATGCGTTGTCACCCGTGAGAACTAAGATTCGCCTCGTTTCCAGTAAAATAGGTCTCCGGTTCTCTACACTCACCATACGAAACACAGCAGCGTTAAGCTGCCATTTTACGCTGGTATTCTGTGAGAGCGTGGTCCTTCCCCGGTCAAGCCGACCCATTCATGCTACAACTATACCAGTGATATAGCTGCAGCATGGCTCTACCACGTATAAAATTCTTTATTGAATTTATTATGAAAAGGATACATAGAACGGGCTTAGTGCCTAAAGACATTCTCTACTGGTCAACCAAATTACTGTTCATTATATTATCAGACATTTATGATTTTGCAATTGCTATAGAACTAACAATATCACTATTGAATTTAAGTTTATTACTCCACATGGAATACAAGAAACCTAATTAATAGTAATATAAGTAATTTAATATACGCTTACATTTCTGGCTCTAGATTCGTGTAATAATAACATGTCTTTTTACAGTACAATTTCATAGATCGCGTGATTAACATTGACGTACAAACACAAAAACGAATCAAGTTTTATATAACAAGCATTCGTAACTTTATACAGTAAAATGTCGGTTTCACCGCCAGTCGATAATATGGCGTCAAAACTAAACGTCACGCTCAATATTCTGCTTGTTCTGTTTATTATTTCCTTTGCAAATGTAATTAGATTTCCTCTTACACCTATAAACATCGAGACGAAGAGATCACTAGGATACCCAAGGGATTCCTTGCTGAACTTCACGGAGCTAACTGGAATATATGGATACCCAGCTGAGGAACACAGGGTTGTGACTGATGATGGTTACATCCTTACGATATTTCGAATATCCAGAGGGAAAAAATACCATGGAAAGACCAAACGGCCACCAGTTATACTCATGCACGGTCTTCTGCAGAGCTCCGATGCTTGGCTCGATGCGGGACCTGAAGATGGTTTGGCCTACCTCATATCGGACGCTGGTTACGACTTATGGGTCGGAAATGTTCGTGGCAACTATTATTCCCGCAGTCATGTTCGCTTAAATCCTGATAGGGATCCTGAATTCTGGAAGTTTTCCGTGGACGAAATTGGATTTTATGATGTACCGGCTATAATCGATTACGTGTTATACTACACTAAAGCGGACAAAGTGAATTATGTCGGGTTTTCACAAGGTGCCGGGACCTATTTCGTTATGTGTTCAGAAAGACCGGAGTATTGTGATAAAGCTCGAGTGCTGATTACCTTAGCACCAGCTGCTAGACAGAAAAACACAAAATCTGTACTGTACAGGACTGTCACTGAAGGTATCAACAGTTTGGAAAACATACTGCGTCTATCGGGTGTTCAGGAAGTGTTTTCGAAAGGTGCCCTTAGTCAAGAATTTCTTGCGTTCCTCTGTCATTTAAATTGGGCATCAGAATTTGTCTGCGCAACCGGTGAAGCATTGTTTGATTCATTCCATCCAGGATCCATAAATAATGTGACCCTTAAAAATTTATTCGGCCACTTTCCCGCTGGAACTTCGGTACATAATATGGCACGTTACGGTCAAAGCATGAGAAGTGAGAGATTCGAGAAGTTTGATTATGGGAAATCTAAGAATTTACAATTATACGGAAGTACTAGACCTCCGGAATATAATCTCAGTGCTGTGACTGTGCCAGTGATAGCGGTTTATGGGGCAAATGATCATTTAGTGGATACGCAAGACGTGGATTGGTTGATGGACAAGTTGCCTAATGTGGTGGAAGCGGTGAAAGTGCGTGATCCTCTTTGGAATCATATGGACGTAACATACAGTAGTATGACAAAGACATTACTTTTACCTACAATTAGTGATTATTTATTAAAATATAGTTATGATTGATGGCTAACGAGTCAATCGGTTTATTATTTATATGAGATCCCCGTTGAATTTTATACTTAGGGCCGTAGTAGCTTGCAACACCAATGAAATTGTTAATTGTAATTTTAACGGCTGATGTGCTCGGTGGAGAAGTAAAACATCGTGAGCAAAACTGCCTATCTGGGGAATTAAAAAAAATTCGAAGAGATGTAAAGTTCGCCAACACCAATAGGGCAGCATGGCGGATACTTCCTTGCCCTAAATCCCTCTCAGAGACGAAAGGAGTCCTTTGTCCAACAGTGGGGCGTTAAAAGTCTGTTACTTTACTTTATTTGACTTCTGTAACAATTACTTGGTCAAGTCACGCTAAAGCTTTAGCATGGTTGTAGTGTAAACGGGTCTACTCGGCCGGGGTCCATGCTCTGAAAGCAGACTTGCATAAAATGAAACTAAAATTAAAATAAAAGTATATTTATTTTCCCGCCACAAATGCACAATAAAAAGGTCTACAAACAAACATGTTTAGGTAACAAATGCAATAACTTTTACGGTAAATTGAACGTGAAGTAGACTCAGCGGACAGCCACTGTAAAGTCTACTTTACCAGATGATGCCTCGCTTAGAGGCGAAACACGTGTAGTAAAATCGACAGTGGTAAGTTTTTTCTAGTGTAGTGGTGATGGGGGTAGTGGTGCTGGGATTAGGGGTTAGTGCACGCAATTAACTAGGCCGGGAGATGTTCTTCAATCTAGGTAAGACACATAATATTAATTTATTCCACGGATCTCAGCAAATTCATTTTCAACATCTTTAATATAAAAGATTTGTGCAAATTAACGGACCTATTGTATTAATTGCGTTAACAATGGTCAGGTTAGTATATAATTTGAATATGTTTGGATTGATATCTATTTCCTTATTATAAGGTTCTTAGGGTCATAGGTTAATTATTTATACTTGCGCAGTGTCAAGTGCAATATAAATAATATTCTTACAGTTTTGAATTAACTTTCCATAAACAGGCTGAGCGTGTGTGAGAAGTGTTATATGTGTGTGGTGCATACCCAGATTGGTGTATAATTACTCACTTATCATTCCATATCTCCCTGTTTCCTCCTACAAAATTGGACACATTTTGATTGTTCTTTCAAGAAGTGAAGGACCAATGAGAAGGACACCCTATACTATGAAAAAAGGCTCCCTAAAATTGTTAAAATAATATTTTTTTAAATAACAATTTATACAATGAATATTGGACCTGCATATGATAAATAAATCATTTAGAATCATGTATAAGCAGTACTTGACAGTTTAGTAGTGCTTTTTAAATATTTTGAAACCCCATGTCAGTTTACGGTAATTGCTGATAGATGATTTTGTCTGCGTATTCTAGTCAGTCAGTCAGTAACAACCATTTTTTGTAATGTTTTTGTTTTTATAGTATAGGGTGACAAACGAGAGCACACAGTCCACCTGATGGTAAGTGGTTGCTGTAGCCCATAGACATCTACATCTATCCTCAATAAAGACTCAAGATGCAGATGTCACCCGTGAGGACTAAGATGGAATGCCTCTTTGCCAGTAAAAAGGGTCTCCGGTTCTCTACACTCACCATACGAAACACAGCAGCGTTAAGCTGCTATTTTACGCTGGTTTTCTGTGAGAGCGTGGTCCTTCCCCGGGCGAGCCGACCCATTCGTACTACAACTATACTTCTAATATAGCTGCAGCATGGCTCTACCACGTAAAATGGCAGACGAAGCACTTTGATCTTATTACAATTATGAATTTTCAAAGTTAATTTATTTATATTAGGCTGCGTGTGAAGTTATTTATAATATCCGATAACCGCGAAGTCGATGGATGCAGGTGGCTCGGGGACTTTGCTTTGTGGCATGCAGTGGTAGACCTTAATTAATAATTGTAGGCTTTAATTAATAATTGTAATTTGAACGTGGTATAGCCATGCTGTAGTTTTTATTTATTTATTATTAGACAAAAATTGTTACAATATTGCTATGCGGCACAGCGAAAATCCACGCAGGTTTGTGTTGCGTGCCGTTCCGTCTACATTTACAAAAAATGGGGATAACAACTAATATTAATTTATTTATTAAGGAAGTAACATTTTCATTTATACTTTATGTTAACATCATTTATTAAGCGAGGTATTATGTATGCGCGAGTGCGCTCACCATATTTATTTTTGGATGGTATTGTTATTAATTTTTTTTTTGAGTTACTTTGCGGGTCTCAATTTTATTTGAGACTGTATGTTGTATACTTACTCGTAAATTAAACAATTGTACTTTTAACAATTGATATTGGACTTTGTCATGGATATTGAGTACCTTGCAGTATTTAAATATAAAGTTTGCATTAGTTTTTGCCTGAATGCACGAATGGGTGGGCTCGACCGGAGAAGGACCACACTCTCAGGGAACACCAGCGTGAAATATCAGTATAATACTGCTGTGTTTCGTATGTTGACTGTAGGATAAAATATAATAGAATACAAACATTTTTATTCAATATAGATTACAAGATTACGTACTGAAAGTCATTTAAGCATTACCACTCGTTCAGAAAAGAACATTCATCCTGGGAAGAACCAGCAAGAAACCTCTAAATTTAATATTTGTCTATATTTATAAGGGAACCGGAGATCCTTTTAACTGGGAACGAAGCATTCCATCTTAATTTTCAAGGGTGACCATGCATCTGCATTTTGATTCACAAACGATCTATGGGCCACAGCAACCACTTACCTTCAGGTGGACTGTGTGCTCGCTTGTCAACCTTATGTTACATAAAAAAATATGATTATGATGATGATGATGATGATATAAGGTCGTTTGGATTTATTGACAGAGAATTTTAGACATATAGATTACTCGTACTATCAAAGCTTGGCGCGCTCAGCAGAGCGAGATAGTGATCCCTTTGATTGAATAAAGAAACATCATTCATGAATAAAGATAATTTAAGATAATTAAGATAAGATAATGTATAAAGGTTACTGTCTGGTTAGCAATCACATAGATTGCTTGTTACCCTTGTTTATATAAACAAGGAATCGTGTGTTAAAATAATACATTTGTGCAATAAATGTGAGGAGGAATCTGAAGTTTATAAAGCAGAAACTTCGAAATAAACTTTACCGTACAACTTATATTGAAGACGAAACAAATTACGAGTAAGGGTACCCTTAACCGACGAGCATTTCTGCGTCGATATAATGATTTGAAAGAAGTTGAAGAGGTGTGTTAGGTTAGTGCCAAATGGCAGTCCGTAATCTTTGCTTACCTCTCTGTGTGACTGGTGTGAGGGTTTGTGTTATGTATTAAAATGAAATACATTTTTTGTATATAAATAAAATATAATATTAACAAAGACGTTTTAAAAGCCTCATGTTTTTCAAATTGGTAATAATAACGTAGGAACATTTTTAAGTCGCATCACGTTAATTAATTTGTGCCACATCATTTTTTTTATTTCCAACAAAAACTTACAATAGAAAAAAAAATGAGGTAAAAATATGGCGTATACTGGCCAGTGGACCGGAGTCTATTCAAGGTCAATATGAGCAAAAACGCAATTTTTTTAAATTAAATCATGGCCCCTTGTTTCGAAAACGTCATTCATTTTTTTTTTGATAAAATTTAAGCCAGCAACAAACCTACAGCCCACGTGATGGTAAGTGGCTATGTTTGATGGACATCTGCAGCCAATTTCAAACAAAACATTCTACAGGTGCTTTGTCACCTAGTTACTAAGATGGAATACCTCACATCCTATAATTACAAATTACACCGTATCGTCATATATCGGGTATATATCAGCATGGAACATAGCAGTGCACGAACTGCTATATAGAGAAGGAAAGGTAGGTAAGAAGATGGTACGTACCCAGAAGGGCGGCTAGTCAGAAAAGTAGTCGTATCAACTGGTGTGTTTCTTTATAGAATAAACCTAGCAAGCTAACAGCATAGCAAAGTGGCGAAGCAATCAGCTTTATAGCGGTTTCTAAAGGTTGCCGTTGAGCAATCACTTTCAAAATAGGAGGTTCAGATGCCTGGGTGATCAGTAATCGATTGCTGAAAACAGAATTTGAAAATTCAAAACCGTTCTCGAGATAATCGTGGGACAGACGGACAGACGGACAGACGGACAGACGGACAGACGGACAGAGGGACAGACATCGTGAAATCAATAAACCTAGCAAGCTAACAGCAAAGCAAAGCGGCGAAGCAATCAGCTTTGTATCGGTTTCGAACGGTTGCCGTTGAGCAATCAGTTTCAAAATAGGAGGTTCAGATGCCTGGATGATCAGTAATCGATTGCTGAAAACAGAATATGAAAATTCGAAACCGTTCTCGAGATAATCGTGGGACAGACGGACAGACAGACAGATGGACAGATGGACAGACGAACAGACGGACAGACGGACAGACATCGTGAAATCAATAAGTGACTTCGCAAACTTCGCCACTTAATAAGGGTAACACGCGAGCAAACAGCCCCCATGATGGTAAGTGGATGCTGTGGCCCTTAGATATCGACATCTATTTTAAATAAATAATCAAAATGTAGATGCGTTGTCATTCCGTAGGAGTGAGATGGAAAGCTTCGTATTCAGTAAAACGGGTCTCTGTTTCTCTACACTCTGGTGATTTCAGCAGCAGTATGTTAAGCTGGTATTCAGTGAGAGCTTGGACCTTCCCCGCTCGAGTTGACTCATTCTTCCTACAATCATAATATAGCTGCAACATGGATCTACCACGTAAACATATGTGTAAATAAGTACGAGTATTAAAGAATAGCCAGGCGAATCCGGAGTAAGTGCCCCGGATTCATGTGGTTTTTTTAAATAATAATTAATGATATTTTATCAATTATTCGGTTTCACGCAAAATACTGGTTCTTTTTTCATTTCAGGTTTATACTTATGTAAAAACACACTGTTGGAATTTCTGTTGGAATGCTAATTTTCGAGAATATTCTCTCGTAAATCAAAGCAA